ATAAAAAAAGGATAAAAACTCTATTATTTTAAAACATAAGGAGTATTTGAAGTTTATCATTTGAACTTCCAAAGTTTCAGTCTATTCGAACATGTTAAGTTTGGGATATTTACCCTAGCTTTCGAAAATGATGAATAAGAAGCTCGAGAGTCAAGAGTAATTAAAAATATATTCGGTTAGAGAAATAAGCATTAGTAGTAAATAATTATTTGATTTTATGCACCACACTAACATTTATAAAATCCAATCTGTCTCCTTCCAACTTGCACCCAACCCATTGTCATCACTCATCTCTAACTCCTTGATCTCTATACTTTTTCAAGCACGCATTATATACTTATCACTTACCTATAATTTGTTATGTCTTTTTAGGACAATATGATATTATATGCTTCGCAAATAAATCATAGCTTTTCAATCGTTATATTAAAGTATAATTGCGAAAGCATGGTTCATTCTCCAAAAAGAGAGGAAATGTAACAAATAACATTTCTTGTACAAGCTTAATACTAACATAAAAGCATTAATTAGTATTTTATATATTATCTCCATCTGTATGATTAAGAAGTGGGGAAATATACTAGGTTTTCTTCTATTGTTCTCTTTGCATCAGTCTTGTTAATCATTAGATTGCATTAAAATTGACCAGTGAAAAAATTGTTTCAAAAAGTGATCTATTTTTCTTTTTAGTTTATTCAAAAAGAATAATTCCTGTTGGTGTTTTTTAAAAATGGGGCAGCACAAAAGGATTGAAAATGTCTCTCAATGGATTGAAATGACTTTCAATAGCTTTCAATAATTTTATTAAGCATTGAGGGGCTTTAAATAGCCAACATAAAACACAAAATCTGCATAATTTAAAATTTAAACAACCTAAAATATCTCAACAACATAAACAAACTAACTAAAATTCAAAATTCAAATTTATTCAAACTAAATAACTTATTTTGCTAAAATTTACTGCAGTAACTAAAAGCAAACTTCAACACTCCTCCTTTGTTTTAGTTACTGCAATTGAAAAAATTGCTCCTCCTCAATTTTTGCTTTGGTAGTTTGGTAGTTGATGCTGGATTCGTTTTCATTGTTTTTGAACTTGCAAAATTTCTTCTTTTTTATTTTTCTTCTTTTGATTTTGTTCTTCAAAAACACATACGATGACATTGTATTGTGTCGAAGTTTTTTTGAAAGTGCTTTAATCTGAACTTTTGCATGATTTGCAGAGAGAGGTTGTAAGTGTTTTACTTCCATCACAACCTCACATATCACATATGTTTCAAAATATGATTTTATTCTCACAGACCAAATTTGATAGTTTTCGTGTGTGAAAATTTGTGGGGCATTCAAAGAGAGACAGTTGCTTGCCATTATTTTGGTTAAAAAATGATTTAGAAAAGCCTGTGCGTTGAAAAAAAGCACCAGTTGAAAAGGTAGCCTTGATAGGTTAAAATGGGTAGCCCTGATGGGTTAAAAAGGTAGACCCTTACGGGTTAAAAATGTATGGTAGTTCTTTGGAAGATTTCACAGATCCCTTAGGATCAATGAAGCTCTTGATACCACTGTTGGTGTTTTTTAAAAATGGGGATGCACAAAAGGATTGAAAATGTCTCTCAATGGATTGAAATGACTTTCAATAGCTTTCAAAAAATTTATTAAGCATTGAGGGGCTTTAATAGCCAACATAAAACACATAATCTGCATAATTTAAAATTTAAACAACCTAAAATATCTCAACAACATAAACAAACTAACTGAAGTTGGGTCAAGTCTCCAAACAGGAGGAGCTAGCCAAGGGAGGTCTATGGCGATTCATCAGTGACCTAAAGTTTCTCCTAAATTACGGGTCATTCCCTCCCCTATAGTTTCATATTATGATGTTCATAAATTTGTTCATATTAGGTGGTTTATCATGGGAATGTCCCTTCTCGATTCTATGGAGGCATTCGTGTTCAGATTCTTTGCTGTTGGGTTTCATTACTAGCACATAGTTCCCAATCTGAGGGTTAAAAGGGTATCCAATATCTATTAAGCTTTTTAAGAGATTTGGTGGACAGCTAAATATGAATTTCTTGTTGTATTTTTTTGTTGTAAATCATTACTTTTATTTCCCTTAACAAAACTATTTATGTCATTGTTTCTCTCATTATTTCTAGAGCTTACACTACTTCATGGGTTTTGTATTCACAAGTCTAAATGGAACTAAGTTTACAGGAGGGATCCCTCTTGTAAACTTAGTTCCATTTAGACTTGTGAATACAAACACCCATAAATTAGAAGAAGCTTTAGAGATAATGAGAGAAACAAGAACAAAAATAGTTGTGCTAAAGGAAATAAAACCAATGATTTACAATGAGAAATACGACAAGAAATTTATACTTATCAGTCCACCGAATCTCTTGAAAAGTTTAATAGATATTATGCACCCTTTTAACCCGCAGATATGGAATAATGTGTTAGTAATGAACCCTACATTAAAGAATCTGAATATGGATGCCTTGATATAATTCAAAAGAGACATTTCCATGATAAGCCCACCAAATCTGAACAGATCCATAAGTATCATAATATAGAACTATAGGGGAGGGAATGACTATAATTTTAGGAAAACTTTAGGTCAGTGTTGGATTGGCATAGACCTCCCTTGGTAGCTTTGTGGGAGACTTGCAGGATCATCAAGTTCTACTTGATGTTTTTTCTTTCAACAATATGATTGAGGTCCCACCTATAAGAAACTTTAGTGGAATTATTGTGTTGTGGGATGATAACCTACTAGAGCTAGATGAAATTTCTATAACTGCATAAAAAATACATGATATGGTCAAGGTAAGTTCTACAAATACCTCATGGTTATTTAGTTATATATATGCTAGTACTCATAGAAATATGCACAAATTTTCATTGCAAAATATAAAAACTATTAAGGATAACTATTGTAGTAAATGTTTAATAGGTGAAGATTTTAACGAACTACTTCATAATTCGAGAAAAGGGGGAAAATCCTCTTAATTTTCATGAACATCTGACTTCTGAAATGTTATTAATTATTGCAAATTTATTGATATAAGCTTTAAAGGAAGCAAATTTATGTGGCTAAATAAAAAAGTTAAGAATAGAAAGAAAAAGAATTATGATTCATGTTTTAATTCAAATCTTCCCATGAACCATGTTCATATATATTTCTTAAGGATACAATTGGTGATTTCATATATGAAAAAAAATTGACTCATGCCTAAAACTTATAAGAAACATTCTATAAAAATTAATTAAAATTGTAAAAGAATACTCATTGATCCAGAACAATAGAACATTCAACTGAAGAACACTTGATAAGGTAACCATGTATTCCACACATATTTCTCTTTTTTTCATAAAACCTTAAATCAATAAACAAAAAAAAAACAAGCTTAATTATGGGAGAAGAATAAAGATTTGGGGTCTATATATAGGGAAGGAGACAAGTCTAGTTCCCACAAAAAACTTTTTTAATTAATATACAGAATTTTAAATGGATTTTCTTATTAATTGCACTTGTCAATATCCACAAAAGTCTTTCTAAGTAATTTGACTAGATTTTTAAATGGGTTCTCCTAATAAATGCAATTATCTATTTTTAAAAGTAGTTATTAAGGTATTTATTACATAACTTAGTCATTACGCATTATATTACGTACACATGTTTATTAATATAATTACAATATAATTATAAGTGTATTGTTTGGTTGCACAAGAACTCTCTTATATAATTGCACAAGAAACTGTTTATGTTGTATTTTTAGTGACAAGTTTCTTCATTTTTATTTATGTTCTTCTTTTCCACTATTTCATTTTAAAAATCAACGTCATATTTTGGATGAACATCAATTTTTTAAAAAAAATTTAGAGTTTATGATGAACATCATAGTGTTTGTAGCTTGATCTTAGAGCTTGGAGCTCATCGTTTGACGGAGTTGGGGTTTATTGGTCGGAGCTCCGGTAATGGCGGCTATGGAGGTTTTCTGATGGGGTTTCGGTAGTGTGATGGTTGTTTAGCGAGAATGGTTTCACCAGAGGTCTGGGGGTTTCCGATTGAGCTTGTGCTTGGAGAAGCATGGTGGTTCGCGTGTGGGCAAAAATCACCGGTTAATAAATTATCCGTGTATGTAATCTTATCCATATTTGAATGAATTTCTAGAATGTGCAAATATCAAAATGAATATTAATAAATGTAACAAATAAAATGAATATTAAAAAAGTAATGAACGTAATCAATGACATGTAAAAAATACAATTTAACAGAAATAATGATTTAATCAAAATGAACAAATATTTGAACGTAGTCAACCGACTGTGATGAAAAAATAATGTAATTAAAACTAACTAATAAAATATTCTGAAATTTTGACAAATAAGGATAAATATCGATAAACTTATTTAAAATTATAAAAAATGTATATTGAACTATTGAATAAATAAAACTTAAAAGTTACGAATTTTGAAAATGTTAGATCAAAATTGAGTGTCAACAGAAAGTACCCACCCCACCGACCCTAAACAACTCAAAAGCTTATTTTCCCTATCCTCTTCCAACTCTGCAATACTTCTTGATTGTACAACAATAACAATTGCGTCTTAATGCCAAGCAAGTTAGCATCAAGTATATGAATGCCTAGTGTCCAAGTTGCCCCATTTAACCTTTATTACTTGTACTTGGGGGAGAATAAACAGATTTGTAAAATATAGAGACAATGGACCAATTTCTTGTTCTATTATTCCAAGAATAAGAGCTATTTGTAGGTGTACATGTAAATCTATCTAAGGAAATAAAATCAGAAAATATCCCTAAATATCTCTAAGATCCCTAAAGATCTCTACCTATAATTATGCTATGAGTAGATATGACTATGTACATTTTGTAACACTCCCCCTCAAGTTGGAGCATAGATACTAATCATGCTCAACTTGTTACAAAGATATTCCACCTGAGTTCCATTCAAAGCCTTCATCAATATATCACCCAATTGCTCTCATGTGTTCACATAGCCAGTAGAAATGACGTTCTCTTCAATCCTCTCATGGACAAAGTGACAATCGACCTCAATATGTGTTGTCCATTCATGATACACTGGATTTAAGGCAATGTGTAGAGCAGCCTGATTATCACACCAAAGTTTTGCTGGAAAAGAAGGATTCAAACCAACCTCAGCTAAAAGGTGTTGTATCCATAGTATTTCACATGTGGACTGAGCCATAACTCTATACTCGGACTCTGCACTAGATCGAGATACAACATTTTGTTTCTTACTCCTCCAAGATACTAGATTTCCACCAACAAAGACGCAACAGCCAGTAGTCAATCTTTTATCAATTCTTGATCCTACCCAATCTGCATCTGCAAAACATTCAACACGAGTATGTATGTGGTCGCTATACAATATGTCAAGGTCAGGGGCTCCTTTCAAATAACATAGAATTTGTTCCAAGGCAGCCCAATGTTTGACTGTTGGTATAGACATAAATTGACTAACAATATTGAATGCATAGGCAATATCTAGACGAGTCATAGTAAGGTAGTTTAGTTTCCCAACCAACCTTCTGTATCTTTCTGGATCATCAAAAGGTTCAGCATCATCCTTAGTAAGATGTGCATTAGGAGCCATTGGTGTGCCACACGGTTTCGCTCCCAACTTACCAGTTTCTGCAAGTAGGTCAAGTACATACTTTCTTTGAGATAAGAAAATCACATTCTTACTTCTAGCTACTTCTACACCAAAGAAGTATTTCAGTTGTCCCAAGTCTTTGGTATGAAACTTGGTATGTAAAAACTGCTTGAGAGAAGAAATTTCAGTACAATCATCTCCTGTAATCACAATATCATCAACATAGACAACTAGAAGAATAATACCAGACATTGATTGTCGGTAAAAGACTGAGTGATCACACTTGCTCTTCTTCAACCCAAATTCTTGAACTACAACTCTAAATTTTCCAAACCATGCACAAGGACTCTACTTTAGACCATATAGAGATTTTCTTAGATGACAAAATTTTCCATACTCCCCCTAAGCAACAAACCTAGGTGGTTGCTCCATATACACCTCTTCATGTAGATCACCATGAAGGAAAGCATTCTTGATATCCAGTTGATATAAAGGCCAATGTTGAGAAGCAGCCAAGGAATAAACAAGCGAACAAAGGTGAGCTTAGCTACGGGGGAGAAAGTGTCAGAATAATCTACCCCAAAAGTCTGAGCATAACCTTTAGCCACAAGTCTAGCCTTAAGTCTTGCAATAGAACCATCAGGATTGACTTTGACGGTAAAAACCCATTTGCATCCTACTGCTTTCTATCCCTTGGGTAAATCCACCAAATCCCCAAGTATGATTTTCATCTAGAGCATGTATCTCTTCAAGCATTGCATTATGCCATCCAAAATGATTCAAGGCTTCTTTCACTGTTTTAGGGATATATAGTCACAGAGTCCAGAGAGCCAACCAAACAACTAGATGCAGGAGATAAGTGATCATAAGAAACAAAATTAGCTATGGAATATGTGGATTTGCACTAATGTGTACCTTTTCGAAGAGCAATAGGAAGGTCTAAACTTTCTGAAGGATCAAATGGAAAAGGATCTCATGATGGAGTTTATGTAGGGTATGTATCGTTAATCTCTTGCCCCCTTGAGTAAACTTGAACAATTGGTGGTCTTGCTGGTGCGGATTGAGTAGGTTGTGATGGCACAATGGTCAATTGATGCTCAATAAAAGAACTAGGAGATAGAGGAACAACATTAGTTGATTGTTCTGTTACAACACGAGTAACCTGATAGGCTAACCACTTATCTTCCTCCTGACTTGAAGAATCTGGAGGTGTATAAAAGAATGGTGTAGTCTCTGAAAATACCATGTCAGTTGATACTAAATATTTACCAAATTTAATAGAATAACACTGATACCCCATCTGAAGGCAAGAATAGCCCAAGAAAACACACTTTAATGCTTTAGGATCTAACTTGGTAATAGATGGTCGAACATCTCTAACATAACAAGTGCTTCCAAACACCTTAGGTTCCACTGGAAAAAATGATTTGCTTGGAAAAATAATATTATACGGCGTATTACCGACCAATATAATTGATGGCATGCGATTGATCAGAAAACAAGCAGTAGAGATGGCATCAGCCCAAAATTGCTTAGGAACCTTCATTTGGAACAGCAATGCCCAAGCTGTCTAAAGTAGATGCCTATTCTTTCTCTTGGCAACTCCATTTTGAGAGGGTGTATCAACATATGAAGATTGATGGAGAATACCATGTTGTCTCATGTAAGACCTAAATAATTCTGACGTATATCTTTAGCATTATCACTCCTTAGAATACGCACTTTGGCATCAAATTGAGTTTTGACTTCAGCACCAAAGGTAGAAAAGTGAGTGAACACTTCAGATCTGCTCTTCCTAAAGTATATCCAAGTCATTCAAGAAAAATCATCTACAAAGGTGACAAAATATTTATGCCCAGTTTTGGAAACAACATGACATGGTCCCCAAACATAGAATGAACTAACTCAGAAGTTGACTCGACTCTCTTATTAACCCTTAGACCGAATGAGATGCAATGGTGTTTTGCAAATTGGCAAGACTCACATCCAATGAGGAAATATTCTGATATTGAGAAAATTTGGCAAACTCCTCAACCGAAACCAAAACCATTTTGTCGGATAATGAACGTGAAGCAACAACTTTTAAATGATCTGTCATTTTACCAGCTATATTTGAAAGTGTTTCAAAATCCCCATACAAACAAACAGCATCCTAATAATACAATAAAAAAAGAAACTGCACTAGCCAAACTCGATGGCCCTCTAGAAATAATTTCCTAAATAAGGTTCAAATAGCCTCCAAAACAATATCAACTCACAAATTGGTCAAGCAACAATTCCACTGCTGCACTCATACACAATTTCCATAATCTAGTATAATTAGCAACAAACAGAGAAGTCTCAAACCTGACCAAAGAGGGTCCACATATTCTATTTGGAGGGTTTTCTTCTCGGAAAAATTGGTCCTATAATTAGGGGATCACCACTAATCAGCCAGAAATGACAAGTCGATGCTGGAAAAGAAAGTTGGACCAAGCTTGGTCCACTCACGCGTGGCAGAAACTAAATTCAAGTTCACTAATTTCATTCACGGACACTAACCGGATTCCGGTGAGCTCCGGTGAGCTTTCTGACTGACAAAGAACATATAATGCTCTAATACCATGTAAAATATAGAGACAATGGACCAATTTCTTGTTCTATTATTCCAAGAATAAGAGCTATTTGTACATGTAAATCTATCCAAGGAAATAAAATCAAAAAATATCCTTAAATATCTCTAAAATCCCTAAAGATCTCTATCTATAATTATGCTATGAGTAGCTATGACTATGTACATTTTGTAACAATACAAAAGTCTGGATACAAACGTGTAACTAATGACAAATTACTAGCTAGGAGCAAGGATGTATCCTACTGTAATATCAAGTTATTCCACAGAATACTACCGTATAGTGATTAAATCTTGAGTTCAGTAAGCTTCAAGAAGCAACACAATGATACAACTACTAGAATCATTTTTTTATGACTCTGGTGTTAACTTTCGCACACCTCGACTAATTTCACGAGATACCTGCCACCTCCCACCAACAAAAGGTATCAGGTAATTCTGTCCACCAAAACTAGGACAAACAGAAAGAATCGCCTAGTTTTTTTTTGTCTACGTTGTAATTTGAACCTATAGACCTCATGACTCTCAACCACTTCTAGGCCACACTCTTGGGTGCGATAGAACTACTATAATCTTAACATGATACAATCAGAAAAAATAACCAGTTACATGTATAACCAACAGTTTTAACTAAAATTTCAAAACCTAATCTAGAGTGGATTGCATTTGCTCAATATGTAAAGGTTTAAGATGTTGCAGATCACCACTTAGTTAAAACAGAAACCTCTCTAATATATTCTTCTGAAAATCTATCTTTATGTTTTTGATATTACAAGAGACCAGTGTCCCATGTCTCCTCATTTCATAGTTTTCCTCTGCAAACCTATTCACATTTACATTTCAAAGGGAAAATAGTTTTTGATATCGGTGATTCCCTTTTCTTTAACCTCTACTCTCTTAAGAGTTTGTAGCGCATTACTAAGAGTAACAACTTTGCTAACTATCAAATTATATGGTTTGGCATCGTCGAATTCTTTCTGAAGCCATGCTTCCTGCAACGATCATTTGCAGGATTCTGATGAACAGCAGAGGATGTATTCTAGAGATGGCATTGTTGGTATGCTTGGTAGCATAGTTGAAGTAGTATGTGTTAGGAAACGTATGCAAATGTCTGTTCAACTTCATCGACCCCTAGAGTTTCCTTAAAAATCGAATCATTTCCTCCCCTGGAGTTTTCATATTATGATGTTCATAAATCTATTCAGATTGGGTGGATTTATCATGGGAATGTCCCTTCTAGATTCTATCGAGGCATCCCTATTCGGATTCTTCACTGTTGGTTTCAATTACTAGCACATAGTTCCCTATCTGATGGTTAAAAGGGTGCTAAATTGTAACACCCCAAAAAATTTAAAATTAAGATCTGAACCATTCTTGAACTGCGTATAAGGTCGTACCGAGTGATTCTTAATTGTTCTTATATTCTAAGGTCAATTCATTAGTGTGAAAATGATTTTGGATATCAATTAAGGTCATTGGAATCCCCTAACACAAAGTTGAGTCGAAAGCTTTCTTACCGATTAAGTTTTGATGTAAGATTCTACTTAGGTAAACTTAAAACGATCATATATCTTAGCACATAAAGAATTAGGTGGCCCATGACCTATCAAATTAAAGGTATTTGAGTCATCTTTCCAACGCCGCCGAGTTTGCTTCATTTTAATCTCAGAGTAAAATGATATGCTCGTTTTAGTGAAGCCTTCTTTATAAGAAACCTAAATCGTTTTAGAGGGGTAGTTTAGTCTTTTCCCACTCCTTCTAAGCCTAAGCCATGTTTTTATTCACCTAATTAAGGGTCTAATTAGTGTTAAAACATGTTTTCGCATTCTTTAACACTTAGAAGAATTAGAGCATGGTTCCAATAGGAGAAAAGGCTAGGGTTCAAGCTTTCTTCAAAATTCCATCAATTTTCACCAAGATCCTTTGTTCTGTGCAGGTATGTAAGTCTATCATAGTACTGTACTAACTCGTCCTCACGCCCTACATCTCAATTCATTTAGAAATCGTCACATCTAAAGGATTCATTCGTAGTTCTTGATATTGAATCCGGTTCTTTAACCGTTGAGGTTTTGATTCTTTTGTTTTGTCTTATAGTGTTGTTCATGCTTAGTATCACATGAACCCTATTGATTTACTAAATTTATGTTTTCAAAAGGAATTGTATGATAATTCTCATGTATTTGTTTTCGGTTTGAGAAACAAGAAGAGTTTGGGAGCAATTTCCCAAATCTAAATTAATTTGGGGTCCTAATTTAACTTGAAAATTCATTGAAGATGTTGGGGAGGGCCCTAGGGCGGTGCACTAGTAATGCGCCACACCTGGCCTTCAATAGTTTAGGCCCTAGAGCGGCGCGCCAGCAATGCACCTAGGCTTGACTTCTGAATTTCAGGGTTTGGCACCATGTGCCAGCAATGCACCCAGGCCTAACTTCTGAAGTTCAGGGACTGGCGCCCTGCGCCAACAGTACGCCAAGGATATTTTGGGCTGATTCTTTTTTTATTTCATCCAGCACATGCTCATTTAAGTTGTGGTCATGTTTTCCTTCTTTGTGTTAGCTCCTATAAGCTCCATTTACCTTTAAAAAATCATGCATATCCTAATCACATATCTTAATGCACATTCAAAACTAAATTGAGTTGA